AATTGCTTCCCTTTTGATTTCATTAAAGAGTTTCAGGGGTGTAGGCATTAAGTCTTCTTTGTATTTCTTGTAGAATTCTGCTGTGAATTTGTCTGGGCCTGGGCTCTTCTTTGTAGGTAGGGACTTAATTACATTTTCAATTTCATTAATAGAAATTGGGTTATTCAGCAGTTTTACATCTTCTTGACCCAGCTTTGGTACTTCATATGTTTCTAGGAATCTGTCCATTTCTTCTGTGTTATCAAACCTATGACAGTAGAGGTTTTTGAAATAGATGCTGATGATCTTCTGTATTTCCACAGAGTCTGTAGTGATTTCATGGTTTTTTTTGAGGTATTTCTTTCCTTTTTAAATAAGATTGGCTAGGGGCTTATCAATTTTATTTATCCTTTCAAAGAACCAACTCTTTGATTCATTGATTTTTTAGTCCGTATTATATTAATTTCTTCTGTGATTTTTATAATTTCCTCCCTTCTTTTGGCTTTGGGCTTGACTTGCTCTTCTTTTTCTAGATGTTTGATGTATAGCATCAGGTTATTTGTTTTCGTTCTGTTTTCCTGATGTAGGAATCTCAGTGCAATAAATTTTCTTCTGAGGACCACTTTCATTGCATCCCAAAGATTCCAGTCAGTTGCATTTGTATTTTCATTTGCTTGTAGGTATTGTTTAACTTCTTCTTTAATTTCCTCTGTGACCCACTGATTGCTCAAGAGTGTATTATTCAATTTCCATGTGTTTGTGGGGTTTTTGCAGTTTCTTTTATCATTAGTTTCTACTTTAATGGCACTATGATCTGATAACATGCATGGGATAATTTCAATTCTTTTGCATTGAGTTAAATAGGTCTGTGAGCTAGTATATGGTCTATTTTAGAGAATGTCCCATTGCTGCTGAGAAGAATGTATATTCTGATATTGTTGGATGGATCACTCTATATATGTCTATGAAGTCCACTTTTTCACAAGTGTGCTTCAGTTCTGTTATTTCTTTGCTGATTTTCTGTCTAGTTTATCTGTCCCTTGGTGTGAGTGGTGTGTTAAAGTCTCCTGTTATAATTGTGTTGTTGCTAATTTGATTTTTCATTTCTATTAATACTTGCTTTGTGTAACTGGGTACTCTGGATTTTGGTGCATATGTAATTAAGAATGTTATCTCTTCCTCTTGAAGTTTTCCCCTAACCAGTATGTAGTGACTTTCTATATCTCTTAGAATCATTCTTGGTTTGAAGTTCATATTATCTGCAAACAGAATAGCTATCCCCACATTTTTTTCAATTTCTGTTGCATGAAGTATTGTTTTCCATCCTTTAAATTTCAGTCTGTAAGTTTCCTTTTGAGTTACTTGGGTTTCTTGTAGTCAGCATATGGTTGGATGTTGTTTCTTGATCCATTCTGCCAGTCTGTTTCATTTAATTGGTGAATTGAGACCATTTACAGTAATGGTTATAACTGTTATATATTGGCTTATTGTTGACATGTTGTCTTTCTGCTGTTGCAGCTTTATCTTTCCATTCTGTTTAGTTGTCTACCTTGCTTAGCGGTTTTTTCCTATGTGTATCTAGACTCTTTTTGAATTCTTTGCAGGGTTGACTTGGTGATCATGAAGTTCTTCAGCTGTTCTTTGTCATGGAAGTATCTTATTTCTCCATCCATGTTGAAGGACAGTTTTTCAGGGTATATCAGTCTAGGTTGAAAATTATTTTCCTTTAGGATTTAAAATGCTTCACTCCATGCTCTTCTTGACTTCATTGTTTGTGTTGAGAAGTCTGCTGTGATTCTGATAGGCTTTCCTTTATATATGATCTGTCTTTTCTCTCTGACAGCTTTTAGTATTCTATTCTTATGTTGAATTTCTGGGATGGTGATTATTATATGTCTGGGTGTAGTTTTATTTTGGTTATGGCTATTTGGAGTTCTGTATGCTTCACTAATCCTAATGTCAGTTTCCATTCTCATATTTGGGAAATTTTCAGCTATTACTTCTGTGAATAGCCTCTTGGTATCATTTGTGTTGTTCCCTTCTTTTTCATTTATCCCTATCAATCTTATGTTATTTTTCTTTGCATCATCTTGCAGCTGTTAAATTGTTATTTCCCGATTTCTTATTATTTTTAAAAGATCTTTCCTTTCCTGTTCACTAGCTGCAATCTTGTCTTTGAGGTCTGAAATTCTATCTTCGCTTTTGTCGAGTTGGTTTTGACAACTTTCAATGGAATTTTCGATTTCCTGTATGTCTCTTTGAATCTGCTTCATGTATTCTGTTTGTTTCTTAAATTGTTCATCCAGGGATTCTATCTTTTTGTTTTGTTCCTCTAATTTTTTAAATATGTCTTCTTTATATGTGTTCAGCATCTCTTTCATTATTTTTATCATTTCTTCTTTTACCTGAGAGATTATTTCTAGTTTGAATTCCTTTAAAACTTCCTGGAGTTGCTTCTTTATTGCTATTATTATAGATATTTTAGGTGTATGGCATTATTTTCTTCTATGTACATGGCTCCTAGGCTTTCTTGGGATGGGCTGGAGGTTTGAGATTGCATTTTAGTCTTTTGTTTTGTCATTTTCCTATATTTCTGTGTTTCAAGTGTCCTTCCAAGGCTTCCCCTGGATTTGTTGGAAACTGTCTCCTATGTCCTAGGCTCCTGGGACTGAATGGAGGTTCCTGAGTGTGGTCCAGTCAGGTCCTCAGGCCCTCCTATGCCACCTTCAGTGTTCCAGGTAGCTGGGCAGGCACCTCGCCACCTGGATGATGGTCTAAAGCTCTCCCTAGGGAAAAACCAATGCCTTGGAACTCCGTTCACCTGCTCTCAACTCCCGTAATTGAAGAAGGTCCCTGGGCATATTATAGTCAGTCCACAAAACCTCCTAAGGCTAGTCTAGTATGGCTGGGAGCTGGGCGGGTTCTTGAGGTCTGGGACTGGTGATCTAATGTGTTCCAGGGCTCCGGATGGTGCGCGGACTCACCTCAGCTGCCAACTGAGTTTCTGGTTTGAGAGAAGGTCACTGGGCATGTCCTGGGCAGGGGTGAAACCTGCAGAGTGCAGCTTAGTGTGGCTGGGCTCTGGGTGGGTCCTTGAGCTCTGGGAGCAATGATCTTAAAGTCTCCCAAGGCTCGGGATGGTGCCCGGACTCCATTGGAGCATTTTGAGCACAGAAACAACTGGAGAAATGGTGCTGAGGGTCAGGCAATTTTGGTAACTATGAATCATGTCAAAGAGAAAAGACGTACAATAACACAGGTTATTTTTGTTTCTGCTTTTTAAATGTACTTCATTAAATGTTACTTATGCATAACAAACCTGACAAAATTTAAGTGGACAGGTTGGTGAATTGTGACAGATGAATATGACCAAGTCGTGACCACCCTAAGCAAGATGCAGTGTGTTTCCTTATGCTTTCCTAAAGTTAATTCTGTAAGACATCAATAAAGGGAGAGACACTATATTCAGGCTGTAGTGCAAGTCATGGGTTTTCAAGTTGTCAATCACTTCAAATTGACATATTTTTAACTGGATTTTTTTGAAGCAGGAGAAAAAAAGAAGCAGAAGCAGGGGCAGAGGCAGAAGAAGAGAGGGAACAGGGAGAGGAAGAGGAAGAAATATTGGCTATCTGATTTTAAATTTATATTTAAATGCCACGAATCAAAGATAACCAAACATTTTCACAAAAGACAAAATGCAGGACTACCATTATCCATTTTTAAGTCTCTACTAAAATGCTACACTACTCAGTCTAGTATAGGATAACCACTAAGATCAATGGAACAGGGTCAGCATTCAGAAACAGACCCACACATCTATAGACAACTGATTTGACCAAAGTGATAGGACTGTTCATCAGTAAAGGAAAGTCTTTTCTCAAATATTTCTCAAAGAAATATATTCTTGAGAGAAAAAGAAAAAAACTCCAACTCTTGCCTCAGGCTTTACAAAAAATTTACTTAAATGAGTACAGACATAAATGTGAAACTAAAATGATAAAATTTTAAAAGAAAATGCAGGAAAATATATTCCATAACTTTGGATAAGCAAAATTTTTGTAAAAAAGACCACATGTAAAATTCAGCAGTAGAAGGGCCAGAGATATAGCCCAGCAGCACAATGCCTGAGGTCCTGAGTTTGATTCCCAATACCAAAAAAAAAAAAAAAAAAAAAAAGTAAAAAAGAAATTCAGTGGTAGAGCCCCTTCCTTATATGTAGATGCTTTGGGTTAGGTCCCTATCACTGAAATATAATGTATATCTGACACAAGAAAATATAAAGAAACTTATAACTCAATAAAAAAGACAAAGAAATAAAACAAAAGAGGAAAAATTTTTAGAGATACCTCAAGGAACCCGATATACATGTGGTCAGTTAGCTATTCAACTTAAAAGGATGAAGAAATGTGAAAAAGAGAACAAAAGAAGTAAGACAACAACCATGAAAAGAGATAAGTAAAGTAAGAAGGAAATCTGTTCTTTCAAAATAAGGCAAATAGTTCTTTGGCCAAAATGTTCAACAGAAAAATACACAAATGATGGGGGTGGAATTTTTAAGTAGAAATCTGTATTTGTTTCTATCAATAATATTATGATGCAACTGATTCTGACAGTAAAATTTACACAAAATAAAATGGCCCACAGTTACTAAAACTACCTACTATGCAGTGTAAGGAAATCAGTCCTCCTGGATGACAATGTCACAGTAATAATAAGAACAAAGAGAGAAAAGACAACTGAGAGCTCAGGGGTGGAGTCTGGTAGCTCTAAGGACAGAAGATGTGACAAAGAAGCAGCATACTTCAGGGAAGGGACAGTGAGCAGATGGCCAGGGGACAGCCTTGTGACTCCTAGGATGACCCAATAGGACCCCACATTCTGCTGTGAACAGAGATAGGACCCTAATTCAGTAGATCCCTAAAGTGTCAAGTAGATTCTCAAGTTTGTACATATAAAAAGAGGTCATTCTGAAAACTACTAGTAGAGAAGTATTTCTTGAAATAAACCCATAACCACAAGTCTTACATAAAAATTAATAATTTTATTACATGAAAAGTTTTCTCTTCAGCTAATGATCTACACCACTAACATATTCCTGTGAAGGTATATAAACTATTGAGATACAATGAATGATTAATATCCAAAGATTATATCATTTTAAATTTAGTAATAAAATACAACACACTAAGACAATTTGATAAAATATATATTGTAGCAGAATATAGACATGGAAATCCAAATGCTAACAGTTATTTAATGAAATTTACAGCTCATAGTAACAGAAAACAATGGGCAAAAAAAAGCAAAAATCACTTATCACTTACTCCTACTTGGCTGGCACTCATTAAAGTGCTGGACAACACCATGGATGGTCAGTTCTCAAGCATGATACAAGAATACATGGTGGCACTCAGTTACTTCTGAAGAACTTCAGGCTCCTTGTGGACAGGGAGAAAAGCGCCACTGGAGGAGAGATGGTCATTTCCCAGAGGAGCACTCAGGACCATCAGAGTTAAGGAAAACACACAAAACTATGTCGGGGAGTCTTAAAAGTCTCCTGAGTCCAGGAGGGAGAAGCAGTGTAGATGACATGGGGACCCAGCAATTCTCCAGTCCATACTGAGCAGCACACAGGTGTGTCCATCCATGGAGCAATTTACCATGTGCTGTGGGTCCACAGAGCTTCATTCTATGCCATGGGCTCCACTGTGAGAATCTACAGAGCTGAAACAAAATCAGTGCTATCTCAAGGAAAAGCAGGTGAGGAGAGATCACATACAAAAGCCAGAGCAAAAGCAATGGATAGATACCAACTTGCCTTTCCTTGACCATCCACTCAGAGCATGTCATACTGCATTTAACATGTGGGCAACTTACTAAGATATTTCTAATGAAAACACACACTGAGAAAACTTCACATCCATAAGGCTTGGGAGATGAAATCTTTCTTTGGTGTCATTTTAGTTCTGTAAACAATGTCTGGAGCAAATATAGTCACATGTTAAACTTCAGTAATGGCAAGCTGAGTGTACATAGTTCAATTGCATTGTTTTTGTGCTTTTACAGTTAGACACAACTTTAGGCTGAGATCAAGTGAGTCTCAGATTTTATACCAGCCTTCCCTATGCCTCCCTGGCCTTAGAATATCAGTGAAAACTGAGGAAAGGACACAGGGTCACCTGAGAATAGCCAAGCACTCTCCACTGTACACAATGTGTGGACTGCAGGCTCCTTAATGTTCACAAAGAAGGGGCAGGGACAAAGCAGGGCAGGAAAGGATGGGTTTAGAGCTGAATGGAGACAGGATCAGGGTGGGATAAGTTGTGGCAGTGTCTTGAAGCCAGACAAGGTCAAGGCAGTGTAGGGCTGGGCAAGTGATGGGACCTTGAGCATTTGAGTGTCTCCAGACCCCCTCCTGTCCAGGGCACTCCAGTGAGATGCAGGTGGTGTCTTCCCCTAAAGCTCTTTGCGTCTTCTGACTTCAGCTGGGTCCCAAGTTGTCCTCTTCCACTTCTGACTCCTTGCTTATCCTTCAATGTTTGTCTCAGCAGTAAACTGAAATGTCACATGTGAAAGTCACAAGAGAGGACAGTGAGTTGTAGCAAAAGACAACTGTGACAAATATCCCATAAGAAAGGAAATCTACCACATCCATTTAGAACCTTATCTGTTACCCAAAATAAGTGACATTAGCAGAAAAGAGTATTTTAAATTCCCCCTCAACCTTCCAGGATGCTGCTCAGCGTGCAAACCTAACTCATTCCTGCACGGAAACTTTCCAAGGGCATATCCCACAGGTAAGAAAAGACTGCAGTTTTGGGGTCCCACATGTTCATTGTCCTGTTCTAGTCCAAGTGGTTAATCTAAGGTCCCAGGGTCTCCCGACTGTAGATCCTGCAGCCAGAGGCCTGGCCCAGCCCCAGAGAAAGCCCACTGACAATGGACCCTATAAAGACAGGGAGTCAGGGCAAGAGACAGCCTGACTGGGTGGGCAAAGGCCTGGGCAAGGCCAAGAACTGATCCTAGATGACAGCTGGGGACAAGCACTTCAGTGTCATTATAGAGCTGCAAGATGTCAGTCCTATGTTGGACCCTTTACCCTCTCCCTTTTAATGCATCAGGAGCAAACTGGGCATCAGTAGGTCACTGAAGTGCTTTCTAGAAGATCCAAGGAGCTGCAGGGGTGCAACCCTCTAGTATGGAGTAAGTCCCACACACTCGTGAATACTAATTTGTTCTTGTATCTAAAATCTAGTCCTTACTTTTCTGGAGTAATGAAGGCTCACAGAAGGGATGAGCTTAATCTGTACTTCCTTGAATATTAAGTGTGGTGAACAAGAAGAGTTTATTTTTCTTATTACTTGTTATAACCCTATGAATTCCAGCTCAGAAGGCACAGGCTCAGGTTGCTCTAAATGGGCATCACCAGGCAGGAGAAGTGAGAGCTTCTATGGATACTGAATGTTGACAACAGACATCAAATAGATGTCTGATAGAAGGTAAAGACAAAAATATATAAACAGAATGCAGAGGTCCACAAGCCAAGAGTTTTCTATCCTCTTCATATGTATCCTGAGGACATGGGCATAAGATATGATATAACTGTCTCATTTTCACTGAATCAATAGCTTTTCCTCTGACTTCATACCATCATCAAATAGGCATACAGTTTTGGGAGGAGATAATTTTATTGATGGCCCATGAGTGAAGAAGGGAGTATCACACTCTAAAGGCACCTTATCCCCCAGCAGGTCTGGGTCTAGCTTTTTAATAGGAACTTAGGAAAGGATTTGGTATATATGTTGTTCTTAGAGCTGTTCACAGAATGAGAGATTTCTAGAAACTGAGTGCTACCTCTTTTTCTGGCTAATTTGGACATAGTCAGATCTGTCATGGTACTCCTGGCTGTGGGGTTTTTTGGTAGGTTTTTCATTACAGTGAGCCCAAGGTGCTCTGGAGTGTCAGCATGGGATCCAGTTCATACATGACAAGTCTGGAGTACCTCACCCACCATGGATAGTCGGAAGTACATGATAACTGGGTAGTTGGCACCTGGGAGCAGGTGGTTATCAGTAACCTGGCTGAAACTTTTGCAAACAAGCAACATTAGACTGACTGGGCCACAATTTTTAAATAATTTGAAGGTTCATTCAGTCTATTGACACCTTTGTTCTAGATGACCACAGGCAAGTGGTAAAGGTGACTTAGCCGAGCATAAGTTAGAATTGTGCATAAGCCTATTTTTTCTTTTCCCAAGAACAAGAAATAGAAAATACATCAATAACCAGGTTACCTTTTCATGGTCCTGCACAAAGTTAAACTCATCAGTTATCCAATGAGTGCTGGTGCATTATAAATATAAGGGAGAGGAAAATTAAGTGGGTCCCTAGAATAAGACTAAAAGGACACACTGATGAGAAAAACAAACAAGAATTTTTTACCACGTGCATCACAAGCACACAACTGAATAAGCAAGAGATGCGTAATGCAAAGGAAAGGCCAGAACTTGAGCTTTAGAATATGCTAAGAACATAAATTGTGAGAGCAGTGAAAAAAGCAAAGGAAAAGGACTTCGAGTTTTTAGGTTGACAAATTACAGGAAGGCAAACATATAGCCAAGTTAATGGTAGACAAAGGGTGGTGTTTACAAAGTTTGTGAAGAAGTTCCCTCTGGTAATAACTCCAGCCTAGAGTCTCTGGGATACCTTTGCAAATTTATGCCCCACTTCTAGCAAAAGGAAGAAGATCGAAAGCCTTTATTGTTTCCTATTTTCTTAATTGTTTTCAGCTCAAACAATGTCATGCTGAAACAACATCTAGTAAGTTAACGTAATTCTTGACAATCCATGTGCCACAACCCTGACTAGGAGAACTTATGACACTGGCAGCTTGGGCAATGGCTTGACATCTTCTAGCTCCTGTCTTAGGCAGAGATGCAGGCCCTGGCATGCCTCTGCCATCCAGTAACAGCTCAGCTTCATTCCTTCACTCTTAGAGAGGTGATATAAAAGGACCTCAGTGTTAGCAAACATTAATTTTTATATCAGCTACAAAATGTAACAGTTAACATTTTTGTGACTTCAGTCATCAATAATAAGGTCGTTTGTGCTTTGGCTGACTTCACTATTGTCCTGTCATTAGCCCATTCAGTTAAGATCATGTAAAACCAATTGGGATGTAATTCCCAAAATAAAACCATGTGTAGAATTAAGCTCTATTTGATCATGTCATAGTCATCACAAAGACTGCCAACAGTCATTCCAGAAATAACTATCTACTAAGATGTTAAAATATTTCATGATAGCTGCCTCTAATACAGCCCACAACATACCAACTACTCTCTCTTTTCCAGAATTGAGTCTTCTATTAAAAATCATTTTTTACTCCTACTTTTGTTTCCATTTGAAGCCTCTCACACTAAACCAACCTTAGCTTTTCTAACACCTTACTCAGTGATTTCCCAGGCAAACTCACTAGGGAGATGTAGAGTCTGGCAGACTCTAAGATTATAGTTCCCATTAGAAATCAATGTGTCCTTGGTTGGATAACACATTTTTTATTTTCTCATTCTTTATAGAGTTGACAGACAACTGAAACTTTTTTTACACTCTTCTTCCATACATGAGTCCAAATAGCTTAATCAAAGTGGGACAGTTTGACTCCTTGATCTCAGGGTTACCCTAATTATCACCAGTCACCACTGGAAATGAAAACCCCAAGCCCATGAAGAGTGATACAGAGGACAATGTCTGGTCATCACATTTTCTTTTTTTCTCATCACAAAAGCTGACCATCTGAGGGTTTTTCACAGACCAAATCCCCAGCATTATTCTAATAGAGAGGAGAAGCAGCAGAGAAAAAAACTGCTTACCAGATTCCCATATTTTCAAGCCAAGGAAACTTTTCTCCTTTCCCTACTCACAAGTTAGAGGCAGGAACAAAGGCGAATGCTGATAAACCTGGAAATAGGGCCGCAGAGTACCAGAGAAGGAAGCCTTGGGGAAGGTGAAGATGTGGGAGCCAGTGGTCATGTTGTAGAAGGACACAACTCCAGCCTCATAGTCCAGAACAATCCCCACCACTTGGGGCTGCTCAAATAGCTCAAGAGCAGTAGTGGGAGAGGTCAGTGCTATGTAACTGCCTTCTGTGCACCGTCGGATGGTCCAGGATTCAAACTCAGCCTCCTGCTTCATGCTGAGGACCAGCTCCACATTGTTCAGACAAACCCCCACATCCCAAGCTGTTCCTTCTCCAACATCCACTTCAAAGAAGTGTCTTCCCGAGGTGAAGCCCTCACAGCCCATGACATGGGGGAAAGCGGTGATTCTCCCGGAACAAACTTCAGGATTCTGCTGGCTACTTCCCTCAGACACTTGTCTTTGCTCTTCAGACAGAGTTAGGGCAGGATGAGCTGTATCCGGATCCCCAGTCACATTGACTGCAAAAATGTACATAAGTAAAACTAAATATACTTTTGTTACCAAAAATAAAATTTATTTTAAATAAAATCAACCTATTTTCAAATCCAAGAATGATAACTTTTTGGTCTGGGGATCAAACCCAAGACTTTGGGCATGGTAGGCAAGTGCTGAGCAACCGAGCTACATCCCAAGCCTTAAGAAAGGTTCTGAATTGTTATATGTACCAACCATACAGTGAAAATCATCCGTTCTGTTCCAAGAAAGGGAAGGAGACTCCAAAGAGCTGATTTTTGCCTAGCATTACAATTCATAGGACACAGTAATTTCCTAACAACTAGTGGTAATAATAATGTCAATAATTCCATCATCTTCATCATCACCATTTCAGTTGTCAAGTTGTCAAGCAGCAGAACTAACCAGAGTGACATGGTTCCCATCTAGCAAAAGCCCCTGTTTTCCCTTGTTGATATCCAAGAATTAGGGGACAGTAGAGGCAAGTAAAATGCTTCTCCATCTTCATTTCATAACCACATGCAAGAAGAAATTGCATACTAAACAGTATAAGTAATAAATCAAAATTTATATGCATCTATATGCATATTAACATATAGTAGCATATGCATGTTCAAAATATGTTTATAATGTACATGCTATCATGTTATATGCTATATTTATACTATACAAATTCAAAGTCAATTTTTATATGTTAATATATAATATCATTTTATATAATACATTATTGCATCACAACATGCAATTTTCATATAATGTGCATCAAAGTTTAGCTTTCTATATAATACATATTATATTTTTTATCTCTGTTTTTCTATATAAAATCTGGCAGGATGGTTTCAACATCAGAGTCAGCGTGAAGAACAAACATGCAATGTATTCAGTTGGTGCAGAACACTGGCAAGAGGTATGGAAAAGAAATGTGTTTAGAAAACTTTGATAAAACATATAAACTCTCTTTCTATCCAAGCAGGTGTCATGTGGAAGAAGACTCCCCATCCACCCAACAGCTGTCGTCACCATCACAACATTCTCAGACTATGATGATTGCAACACTCTCAGACCATGATGGCAGATAAGTTTTCATTACCTAGATTTATAAAGACAGCGTATAGCTATCACAACCTTCTCCTGAGTTCACACTGAAGAAATACTTGGCCATGTGGGCAAGGAGCCAAAGGGAGGCCTGTGGAGCTGAAGGCAGCCTCCAGCCACAGGCAGTAAGAAGCCAGGGCCCTACATGCAACCCAAGGAGAATAAATCCTGCCAGTAACGTAAGAGAACAAGAATGGGTACCTTCTCTAGAGGGGTGTTCAGGTGAGAATACAGCCTGGCCACACCTTCACTGCAACCTCCTGAGAGCCTAAGCAAAGAGCCCTCACACAGTACTCAGACTCTTGACTCACGAAGTTTGTGAGATGATATAACTGTATTGTTTTAAGACTAAACTTTGCTAATTTATTAGTAACAATAGATAGATAAAATAACCAGGAAATAACTTCAGGTAAGGTCTGATTGTATAGGCTGATAATCACAATAAAACTTGCTATTTTCACAGTTGCTATGCTTTGTAATTATGGAGAAATCTAGCAATCACTGATAAATAGAGCAAAGGTGGCAGGATCACACTAGAATTCACTTCTGTCATGGGTCTAACATTTTCCTGTATTGTATGAGGCAATTCCTTAAAATTTTTTAAACCATAGTCCATCATGCTCATCTATCTTTCTGCACTACTATCAGAATCTGAAATAGTCACAAGACACACAACAGTCAGATCTACCTCCATGCTGGGTCCCTGTCCTGGCCCACATACCCAGTTAACAGGACAATATTGGGTAGTAGGAGCTGTGAATGCACTCATTCCTCAGACAGGGATATCAAATGACAGGGCCGCCACACAGGAGATCAAGAACTGGAAGCTTCCCATAATGATAGCATACAGTACAGACTCAATACGGAGCACACAGGACTAGGACAGTGAGGCAGCTCTGCTGAAATAACCATGCAACTGCTGCAGGCAGCTGAGTTAGTTAGAAATATTATAGGCAGTGAGACAGGGCTAGGTCCTCAAAGGAGCCAATACAGAGGCCCAGATGCCTTGCAACTGTGGGAGAGAGACAGACACCTCCTGCTGTAGGCCAGGCCTCAAGACAAAGGATCAAACAAATGCATCCACATCCTAAGGACTGATATTCTAAATAGTTCTCTATTACCCTGAGGAAGTCAGGAACCACCCTCCCAATTCCCTAGGGAAAAGTCATAGCTCTCTAAGAATGTCCAGCCTTCTACATGACTCCTTCTGTATTTGTCCCCAATTTAATCAATTTTACCTGAACTATTAATCTTATTGGCTAACTGTAGTAATGTTCCATCTTATGCCCATCTGCCTTGTGATTTTCCAGTTTTCCCTCACCTTGAACACCTCTCGCCCCATGATTTTGCTCTATAAATGTCCCTGGAAAAGACAGAGTCCTTGGCAACCCGCTCAGGATCCCTTCTGTCTCTCTCAGACAGAAGCTTTCTGTCAATAAATATATTCTACCCTTAACCTCTGTTGCTCCTAAAATTCATTTTTCGATTTTAGAGAACACGAACTCATACTGGACATAGGTTGGGAGTTTCATTCCCCTATATCACAACTTCTCATCAAGGATACTTAGGATGGTACCAACTGCTCACCAATCCTCCCATAGCAGCACTGAGAGAGCCCTGAGCTCTCTCTTATACCTTGATGACGTCTTAACATTGTTTTCACATCCAAGTAAAGCTCAGCGACACTGCATGAAGTATGAACCTCCAAGTTAAAGACCTCAGGAGCCTCCAGCTTCACAGCCCAAGTCCTGAAGAAAGCAGAGGCAGAGATTCCTCAGTGGCCCTCTCCACTCAGCTGTCTGCCTAGACCCTCCCTTCCTGTGTTTACATGGTACTCACCTGCTCAAGGTTTCTTTCACATCCTATAAGGAATAAAAACAAAAGGCGAGAGTGTTAACCTCCACCCCCTGGGTTGTGGCATGAAGATGCTATCTCCAAACACAACTCCCCAAAAAAGAAAGAGGGGCCCAGCCTGACACACTGCTGCAGAGTCAGGAGCAATGATCTCACCAGACTTCTGCCACTCAGCAGGAGGCAGTGATCTCCCTGGGAAAGCCTGTGGGGAAGAGCAGTAACCACGGTGGCATCAGCCTGGGGTTGCTTGGGACACAGGAAGGAGCTTTACTGAGACTCTCTCTGGCAAGACTGGTTCTCAGGGACCTGATGTCTTGCAGAGTAAACCCATGGAGAGGTCACTCGTCACCAAGGCTGTGTGTGGTGACTGCAAACAAGCTCCTGAGATTGGATCACTGAGGTCATAGCAGCCAGTGGGCCACCTTCACAGCTAAAGACCATTAATCCCACTAGTGAGGTCCCAAATGAACAGCTCCAGTAATTTGTCATTGTGGAACTATAAGAAGGCCCATCGTTGCTTCATAGCAGGGGATCTATCTGAGGCAAATCAGAGAAAGACCCTTGTTTGGGCTGCCCCACTGTCTCCATCTGTCATCGGGACAAGTATTTCAGGGCAGAAACTGACATAGATCCCTGCACATAGCCAAAGGGAAATAAAAGCTAACCTTTGTGTCCATCTGGCCACTTTACATTCACCCACAGGATACCAGGTTTTTTTTTTTTTTTTTTTTTTTTTTTTTTGTGCTGGGGATTAAATCCAAGGCCTTGGTCAGGCTAGGCAAACCCTCTACCACTGAGTGATAGCCCCAATCCTTTTAGTGAATTTTAATTTCAGACAAAATGTCACTGAGTCATACAGCATGCCCTTACATTTGTAATCCTCCTACCTAGGCCTCTCAACTAGCTGGGTTTACAGAGTGGTGCACAGTGCCTAAGCTACCACACTAATGCCCACGTTGGAGCAGAAGCAGGCTTTGGCCATCTTCCCATGCTTCCTGACCATTCTCCTCCTCCTAGCTCAGTATCAGAATCCTCTTTTCCTTCTCCAAGTCCACAGCCTCACCTGCAGCAGGTTCTGGGCTGAGCCCTGACATTTTGCCTTCAGTTCCAGGATGTGGCTCTTGAGCTCCTCGCTCTTCTGCTCCAGGTTGGCCTCACTCTCCCTCAGTCTCCTCAGCATCTGCTCTTCTTCCTTCTCCAGCCTCCAGAGATACAACTTCTCTTCTTCATGTAGAAAAGTCTGCAGACGCTTGAAATCAGACTTGATTTTTTGTTTCTGAGTCTCTACCTCCTGCTGCAGTTTAAAAAATATTGTCAAAAGTGTCACCAAACCAGGTGTCCATATATAGGTGACAGATAAACAAAATGTGGTACATAGGCAAAAGGAAGTACTACAATCTTAAAAACAATGAAAGTTTGAGCCTTGCCACAAAGCTAAATCTCAAAGACACTCTACTAAGGAAAACAATCCAGGATCTAGTGGACACATAGTGTTCCTCTTACTTTAATAGGTACCTATGACAGTTAAGTGGAGACAGAGAAGAATATAGCAGTTAGCAGATGGTGGCAGGAAGGGAGAATGGAGTTTAGTGTTTGATGAAGTACAAATATCTGGTTTGGTGTAGAGAAAATAAGTCATTCTAGTATTTTATCTCAATAATCCTAAACACTAGAATGGAAAATAGTCAAATTCAGTGAATCAGATTCTTACCTTCCAATAATTTATTTGTGTTGTTACCCACTTTGTCTCATTTGTACATTCCTGTTGAAGTTCATTCAAATTTCTGGCAGCTTCCTCTAGCTTCTCCTAAAGGATAAATTGGGTGAATAAAGACTATTCAATTTGATTCTTAATTAGACACTCAATGAAAATCCCAGCATCCAAGGTGTGCTAAAATACCAGTGAGTATTTCTTGGGTCTTCACATTTTCCAGGGAGACTGCTGAGCGCAGTATGTGCTGTGACGTACAGACGCTCTCACCAACCTTGAGGAAATTAGAATTTTTAAATATCTTTTCTAAATTGTGGAAAAAGTGTCTCAAAAGAGACACTTGGGAGAATTACTGGTAAGCAGTGGGACTGGACTTCCAACCTCCGGTTCTGACCAGGGCCTGAACTATGACCATTACTACAGTGTGGCCACAGAAATGTTGCATAGGGTTGGTGATTACCTTTAAAAAGATCATATAAATTAGTGTGCTACACAAATATATCCAATTCTAGAGTATTTGGTGCATGTCTTAGTCATTTTCTCACTGCTGAGACATAGAACCCAATATCCATAACTTAAAGGAAGACAAATATAGTTTGGCTCAAGTTTTCAGTCTATATAATTTGTAGGTTCCAGGCAGATACACTGGTGGATGGGCTGAGCAAGAAGAGCAGCTCATGTCACGGCAGCCAGCAAACAGCAAAATGAGCCTGGGAGCTAATCTTTCTGGGTCACACCCCTGGTGACCCACCTTCCCCAGCCAGATGCCTACTCCTAACAGCAACTTAGGTATGGCACCTCCCCTGCACCAGTGTAGAAAGACTTAATATCTGTGCCAAGCTTTTTGGCTGTTTTTCAAAACAGTTTCTCATGTGTTCTTTGAAAGAATTTGAAGCAGACACCAATTATTCCTCATAATCAAAAGTTAATGAATATAATCATTACAGGCAAACATGTACAAATAAAAACTACACAGATCCCAGCCTTTTCCAGTGAGTCAGCACCATCTTCAGACAACAGGAGAGGAGAACAAGAAGTCAACAAGAAGCAAAGCCCTCCCTCAGAGTAGGTGTCATATGTGGGCCACTGTGGGAAGAACCAAATGCCAGCCCCCTCTGGTGCTTGCACTGGGAAACAAGAGCCAGTGCAAGCCAGTGTCCCCCTTGAAACTCCCATGGGTGACCAGTTGATCTGGAGAAACACAGGCTGCAGTGATAGCTACTGAAGTAAAATGTACTTTAATGCTTGTAGTGTTTAGTGTTTCACTGACCTTGCAGGTCTAAAGCTGGCAGTCTGACCATCTATTCAGAGGATAACAACACACAGTGTAGCATCTATGGGGGACCTCCTTCTGAAGGTGGTAGTCGTTGTTAATTCCCTATTACCTTGTTTTGAAGTCCTGTATCATTTTCATTGTTTTACTTGGTTTACTTTTATTCTGTTTCATCTTGTTTGATTCTATTATATCTGATGGCAAGGGCAACTACTTCAAAGATAATAAGAAATACTAGAGTAACCAATTTGGATTTATTATTATCTTGTTTTGAAGTCATTTATTGTGTTCATTGTTTTATTTTTATTAGTTGTATTCTGTTCTGTTCTGTTTGATTTTTACTATGTCTAAAGGTAACTGCAGCTGTTTTGAAGACAACAGGCATTATGGTAACCATTGTTGATTTCCTGTTATCTTGTTTTGAAGTCCTGTGTCACACTGTTTTGTTTGGTTGGCTTTATTCTGTTTTATTATACTTGGTTTTATTCTCTTTAAAATAAAAATTACCAAAAAGTTTTAAAAATTAAAAAACAAACCATACAAAAAAATTAAGAGTGGCCTATTAATCCCTATAAGCCCACAAAATGCACTTTGGGGAAAGGGCTCCACCTAGCTACCATAGCAAAGTATACTGCTCCTAGTATATGCCACTTGCCATTCTCTTAATTAAGTTTATTGCACATTTGCCAAGGAGCCTGTTGAGTGCAGTATGTACTATGACGTAGGTAACCAACCTTGAAAAGTTAGTAGAATTTTTTAATATCCCTTTCTAAATTGTGGAAAAATGTTTCAAAAGAATATACATAATGAATATACAAATTCATCCTAAGGAATTTGTACCTTGATTCTGTTCTTTTCCCACATCCCTACCTTCCCTTCAACCTGTATTCCTCTCCTTATTTACAAAAATTTTGTTTCTATTTTTCCTTCTTTTCTCCTCTTGTTCTCTTTCCCTTTCTTCTCCCCCTCTTATTTCTCCTCTCCATTTGAACACTTTCTTCCTATTTCACAATATCTGTTATAAATTTTGGTCCTGATTTACTTTCAGCTTCTCACATCAGAAAAACAATGTGGTATTTACACACCTGTGTCTGAGTTTTTAACTTAAGAGTATGGTCTCAAGGTGCATTCATTAGTTAGAAATGTCTCATGTTTAACCTTCTTTATAGCAAAGTGTATAACAAAACCATGCCCTTATCCATTTGTCAGTTGATGGGCATTTGGGCTGTTTCCAAGATTTAGCTATTATGCCACATGCCATTCTAAACTGTACATGTTTCAATGTCCTAAAACTCCATTGCCAAGGTAAGGCCTGGCTTACATCTCTATGCACAGAAGGGAAAACCAAGGCATGAAAATGTTAAACAGATTGTCCCAAACGGACCACACGGTAAGGGCCAGGGGTAGGATTTTAACCTAAACTGTGTACCTGAAAGTTAACAACCTTGAACTACCATTCTTCCCCTACTTTCTGGGAGAGTAACTCAAATAGGACCATTCCTATTTCAGGCATCAGCAGCTCCATGGAATCCAACAAAGTACCGTTTATGTCGAGCAAGGGTCAGGACGGATGTGACCTTAGGAAACTCAAGGGGCCTTCGTGGAATCCAAGTCTGCTCCTTAGAAGAGACAACCAGCAGCTGTGCTGGGCACGAGCTCCTCAACTCCAGCAGGACCAAGGCCCAGGGCAGCAGGCCTAAGTCATCTCCTTCCTTCACCACCATACAAGGCTATTTTTTTAAACTATTCTGCAAGAATTTTATTTGAAACTGTTATTTTACTACCTTTCTAGAAGGGAAAATTTGAATTCTAACTTTGATATTCCTTGTATTTTAGGAGAGTCGAGGTGTTAACTTTTCCCAATGGGCCCGATCCTCTACTTCCAAAGTGAAAATGCACTTATGATAGACACTGAGGTCTAGGGTTGAGACTTGGAACTGATGTTCAGGTCTAGTCCTCTGCACACGCCCAGGAGCCTGTGCCTGGTTGCATACTCACCTTATAGCCCTGGTACACGTCTTCTACCAGCTCTGTGGCATGTCCTCGGTGCTGTGGTGTCCGCTCACAGCGCCAGCAGATGAGCTGGCCATCATCCTCACAGAAGAGCTGGAGCCGCTCTTTATGGGCCTCACACACCCGCTCCCGCTCTGTCTCCTCTGTCTCCTTGGTCTTCTCTACCTCACTGATTAGTTCAATGAGACTTGCTAGCTGCTTGTTGTCATATATGTTTTTTACCTTAATTGGCTTAAGACAGAGAGGGCAGAGCACTGGACCACTCCACTCGGCATTTATTGTTTGGTTTTTACAGAAATGCCTGATACAGCGTCTACAGTAGCTGTGTCCACAGCTGATGCTTACTGGGTCCAACATCACTTTCTTGCACATGGAGCAGGTAGCAATCGCTTTTATCTTTCGAATGATTGTTGTTGAGGACATAGCTTTTCTCAAGAAGCTGCAGATCTAAAAATGAAGTTGTCCAACTTTGCACAGCCCCTCACCTTTGCCTGTGATTGGCTTCCTCCACAGGTTTTGAAATCTTCAACCTAGAGAAAAGAAACAAGTTGGAATACAGAATATACACAGGTATGTAGCTATGATGTTTAATAATATAGCCACTTCCGTGGTTAGTTATCTGCAGGAGTTGCAGCAAGAGCCACAGCTCAGTGAGGGCTTGAGAAACTCCTTCACATTCTAATAACCACCATCACTTACTACCAGAATGATGTCTTTGTACCTGGAGGTAACCCTCAGACAGGTGAGCGGTCTTTTGGAAGGATTTCACTAAGACAGTCAAATCAGATTTCACCCTCACCTTCACCCCCACCACCAGACTCCTTTGGAGTTGGGAGAGGAGAAGAAAGGGACAAAATTTGGAAGTGACTTCTCCTTTGCAGTGGTTGTACCTAGAATGAAAAAATAGGTTTGAATTAATGTTACCAAGCAGGGTCTTTTTCTCTTATAATCAGGAACAGCCTCTTAGCACCACAAGATATTTCTTGTGTGGCTTCCAGTCTTTGACAACCACTTCTCCCAGAGTTATACTAGCTCCCTTCAGTGCCAGGGGGATTGGACTTATAGGCACCAGAGCCTCCCCTGCTTCAAGACCACACATCTTCCTCCTGAATCTCACTCACCTTATATTTTGGATCTTCTGAAATGTTTCGTGCCTTCTGGTGTAAGCCTCAGCACAGGAAGGGTGAGAACTCTAAGCTGACAGGCAAACATTTCCTGAGGAACTAGGCAGGGCTCTGCTGTCATCTGACACTCTCTCCACCCCTACCATGCTCTCAGACACCCACCTTGCTCCACCCACCCCTGGAGGACTCTGTTCAGGGCCTATCAGGAAGACAGCTCCCATTTGCTACCAATCCTGTCCAGGCTGCCACTTCCTGGAGCTGAGGCAGTCAGTTACCTCAGAACTAAGAAATGAGAAATGAAACTGAAGAGAGAGGAGAACCCCTGAGATTCAGCTAGAGAAGTTTCTCGCGTCTTTTGCCCTCAGCTTGTCCTGAAAGAGAAGGAGAACGCGAGGGAAACAGCTTCTTTGAAAGGAACAAAGTACCAATTTGGGAAACTCCCTGCAATTCCAGGGACAACAGTGGAGAAGGAGGCTTGCAGATGGCCAGCTCATAGCTGTGAAGTGAGATCTTTCCCCATCTCAAAATCAGATCACAGAGTTAAGGGATAATTACTATTAAACGAGAAAAAGTGGATAACCATCTTGAAATAAGACCTCGCCATATTCCTAGCCAAGGGAACGGGAGGTATTCATTGTAAGTGCAAAAGAAATGCTTGTGTAAGAAATAAATTCATGCAATGGTTCTCGGGAGTTGCTAAGGAGACTGGGGACACAGCAAAGAGGGAAAATATCTTGGATCCTAGGAGGCAGGTCAGGCTCACTCCAGGCCTATGGCCTGACTGGTTGGGAGTTAACTCAATAGCTGCTCACACTCAGTGCTGGGCAGTAGACAGAGAAATAACTTGGACTTCGAGGTCACAGCCCTTCTGGACCAAGAGGTCAGGATACAAGCAAGAGTATGAAACATAATCTTTTCTTCTCACCTTAAACAATAGTTTTTGGAGCACTCTGCCTGTCAAGGTGCTCCCAGAGCCTTCTGCCATTTTCCACATAGTAATTTGCTGCATCCTGGCAGATCCCATTGTAGCAGAACACATACAGAACAGGACAGACTGACTCAAGAGAAACTAGCACATAGTCGCCAGAGCAGATATAAGCTCCTCTATCTCAGACCTCACAATGACTCCTTGTTGATACCCCTAACTTCCATTATTCCAGAGGAAACTTTGTACTCTGGTTCAGTTCATCCCAAGTTTGCCCTATCAGCATAAAAAGGAAGGCTGTTAATGTCAGGAAAGAGAAGGGAAAGAAGGGGAGAGAAGGGGAGGGGAGGGGAGGGGAGGGGAGGGGAGGAGGGGAGAGGAGAAAGAAAGGAGAAAGAAAGAAAGAAAGAAAGAAAGAAAGAGAGAGAGAGAGAGAAAGAAAGAAAGGAAAAAGAAAGAAGAAAGAAAGAAAGAAAGAAAGAAAGAAAGAAAGAAAGAAAGAAAGAAAGAAAGAAAGAAAAGGAAAGAAAGAAAGAAAGGAAGGAAGGGACCAAGGAAGGAAAGAAGAAAGGGCATGTGGGGGTCACACAACTCAAATAGCAGTAGGCCAGGCTAGCAGTAAGACCTAGCCTTTGTTAGGAGATTCATTCACCTTGTACCTGCTTCCTGTTGAATGAACCAGGAGTTTGTTCATGCAGGGAGCTCAGGCCTTAGAAAGGGAAATGAAGCAGAGCAGCCTCTGGTCCGCGTTCTCAAAGTGAGACTAGGCTGATGCAGGATCTCTCTGATGGAGGAAGGTATCAACTCCAGTGAATACGCCTGGGCTGGTCCTGTGAGGCAAGGGTACAAGGGACAGAGACTTGAGTAGGGAGATGGTCACCAAGGTCACCTGAAAAAAGCCTTGGACTGACTGTCTCCCTGTGGGAAGAGGTGGCCCCAGGTGGCCCTTTAGCACCTTCCCTGGACTCCTTTAGGTGCTCTTCTCAACCACCCTCCCTGACCATCTGTTCACACCTGTGCCTTCCCTTGCTCTTGACCCTTTTCTAAAGCTGACAAAGAAGCAAACTGAAATTTCTGACACAGAGAAGCAAACTAAAATGGACAAAGGCAAGCAGGTTGAAATCTAAGCAATAATAGTTGGAGACTTCAATACTTCATCTTCAGTAACAGATTGAACAACTGGACAGGTTAACAATCAAATAAGAGACTTACTAATAAATACCTGTGCTCTATAAAGCCTAAAACTAACATATCTATAGGACATTGTATCCAACAAGAGCAAAATACACATCTTTGTCAAGTGCACACAGAATGCTCTCTAGTATAGACCATTTATTAAGCCATGAAACAAGTCTCAGTAGATTTTAAAGGATTAAAATCATACAGCTTGTGTCCTCTGATCTCAGTTGAAGAAAGGTAGAAATAAATAACAGTAGGAAAAGTGGCAAATTTACGAAGTAACAACTTATTCACAGTGAACAACATATTCCAGAAAAATCAGTAGCTCAAAAAAAAAAAAAAAGCACAAATAAAATTAGAAAATATTTTAAGATGAATGGAAATAGGAGCCTACCATGCAAAAGTTTTTGAGAAGCAATGAAAGCAGTACTAAGAAAGAAATTTACATTTGTAAATGCCTACATCTATGAAGATAAATGGTCTCAAATCAACAATGAAACTTCTACCAAATTAACTAGAGAAAGAGGACAAAATGAAGTCCAAAGCAAGCAAGATAGAAAGTTCTTAAAAACAAAAAAGAACAACAAATGCTTTGCAGAAAACCACAGAGGTTTCTCATTAATACGATACAGACAAGAAAACATCACAGAAAAATCTTTATAACATTAAAAGAGCCACACCCCTATAACCAGGGGGGAAAAATCTCTTACCTCGCAGGTAAAATGACTAAAACACAGAAGATGACAGAATATATGTCATCATATGTGACGTGTTAAGATGGATTTTTATCCTGCAAATGTAGGTTTTCTGTGTCATTTTAAAAGTAAACTGTGCACTAAAATAGTGGGCAAAATTGTCCTTTCATCAATTGGTTCAGCATTTACCTGAAATATAGTAAAATATTTTCCTTTCTCTGACTTAAAGCAATAAATGTCTAATCAGTAAATCAGAACTGCAAAAAAAAATGTTAAGTCAAATTCCTGAATGAGAATGGTACTGCAAGAGAAACTGAAACTGAGAAATTCAACAAGTTAAAATTAGAATTGAAAAGCTAAGCTTTTTCTTTAGCTTCGTTATAGGAAAGATGCATTTGCCATCCCCAGCCCTAATGTCCAAAAAGTTTCATTTGAACCAGAATTTGGATATTTCTGGAGCACTTTGTGACCCCAAATGTGGCTGCATCTGCATCTGCATATTCCTAGTGTTCGTTCTACCCTGCCTATAACTTAGAATACTTCTGTCCTTTTTGTGAAGATTAGCTGACTTTCTAATTCAGCAAGAAAGTGATTAAAAATATTTTTTCCATTTTTGTTGGTATTCTTGTGTTTGATGACAGATAAACAAACAAATCCAGATAGTCAAAATCCAGAATCAGGCCACCACCCCTGTCCACAGTAAAAAGAATGCTAGGAATTTTGACTATGAGGATAAATAGGTGAAAAGCAATTGCAAGTTATCAATAATCACACTTGATGTAAATAGCCTAAACACTCTAGTTGAAAAGCCATGGGCTGTCAGACTGAATTTAAAAAGAAAGGGAGACTTGAAAGACCCCACTATGTGCTGCCTAGACAAAATCCACTTTAAATATAAAGACCCATGTAACACCAAACACTATCAGTTATAGCCTTGTTTTTAGACCCTCATATATGGATTCCCTTTCTCTACTCTTGCTTCTCTTCCTCCAACTCATTTTATGTTTGATAATTTTGTCCTTTTTCTTCATTGTTCTGGCAAAATTGCTTTGGGATCATTAAATCCAAGAATGAAAAGACTTCTTCCAAGGAAAATTTGTGCTTGCTTTTGTCAGAGACACAAACTTCCTTAGGGGAGAGGGGAAACTGTTGTGTGGGTCATTTGTCTGTTACTCACTAAAAACAGAACTTCTGTCTTGGAGATTTAAAGACTTGGAAGCTGCGCCTAAGGAAAAAAATGGGACTCTTCATTATGCCTGACAAATAATCTTACCGGGTTTCTCCCTTGCAGGCCCAAATTCTCTTGCCCCTGCTCAGCCAAGAAAATAGCTTGCTGTTGCAGGGAATGTGACAGGAGGACAGAGATGACTCTTGTCAGGCATACCACTTGGCAGAAGCTGGACCTCGTCTCTGGCCCTTCTTTCTTTTTTTCCTACTAAAAACACTATAAATTGTAAACTTCTCTATAAACACTATTTCAGTTGCACAATGGACAGTTGCTTTATTTTTGTTAATGTATAGTACAGAAATATTTTATAATTTTTCTTTTAATTTTCTTAACAAATAATTATTTAGAAGTGTGTTGTCTAATTTCCAAGTATTTTTATTTCCTAGTTACTTTCATTTATTTCTAATTTCATTGTTTTCAGAAAATACTCTACAAGACTTGTATTTTTTAATGAATAAGAATTTTTAATAACCAATGTAAAGTCTGTCATGACGAGTAGAAGCAAGTATTAGGTATACTGTTCCATAAACATCAGTTAGTTCAAAGAGATGGCTATATTGCCAATTTCTGTCTCTACTAATACTTGGATTTATTCTACCTTACTGAAAGAAGAGTACTAAACTCTCCCCTTGTGATTATAGATTTGTCTAATTTTTCTTTCAATTTTGAAGGTCTGTTCTATGACCCATACACATTTATGAGTGTTAAGCTTCCCTTATGAACTAACCCTTTAAGATTAACAAGTATCATTATCTTTGGTAATATGTGCTGTTTTAAATTCCACCTTAGGAGCTGAAGATGTAGCACAGTGCTAGTGTTCACCTAGCATCTGTGAGGACCCGAGATCCCAGCACAGCAAACAAAAGGAAATAGTTAAACTCTACTTTAGTTCTTATTATTATAGCCATGGAAGTTCTTTCCTCCTTGTGTTTGCAGAGAATATATTTTGTATTTTTATTTTTAACACATTTTTCTCTTTAAAGTGTTTCACCTTTAATAAACAGAAGCACAATTCTTATATTTTAAATTCATTCTTCACTTTGAGTATTTATACCATCAACATTTAACCCCCACATTTACTTTCCCAACATTATACTAGCTAGTGTCTCCC